GCACTATTACTACTGCCACTACCACTACTGCTGCTCCTGCTACCATTGCTACTACTACGACGACGACGACGACTGCGACGACGACTACGACTACGACGACGACTACGACTACGACGACTACGACTACGACGACTACGACGACTACGACGACTACGACGACTACGACGACTACGACGACTACGACGACGACTACGACTACTGCATATACACAAAAGGTATGCCTACTTTGACGGACTAAAACCTCTCAATCGTGCCTGCTTCGGGCTACGAAGGAAGCCCCGAGCCTCTCTGGCGCTGCCATGTCATCGCCAGGGCCCAGGACCCTGCTGCCAGCTCCTTCTCCCAAAAGCTTTATGGCTTTGGGCTACGAGGATTTGCGGCAGGTTAGGGTTTGCAGGGTTAAGCTGAGGGCTTTACCAAACGTCACGAAACTCTACCTGTACTTCCAAACCCTACGAAACAGTAGGCCAACCCCATACTTTCCATGTGGAGCTTATTGAATTTTTTTGACGGTAGTTTATACGTAGGTCCAATCGGTTTAAGGCCCCAAACTCGAATCAACACTCGAGGAAGCAAGAGCACCTCAGCAAGGCTCGAGTCCTGAACCGTACACTACCCACACCTTACTCCTTTGCAGTGCCTCGTTAAGGGTTATAAAAAGGTAAACACCCTAATGTGGGTGCTGCCTGCTCAGCGCAAAACCGGCTTCCTCCGCTCTGGCTGCAATCCGCCGGTGAAGAGAAAACACGGGAAAACGCGCTACTTGGCGCAATCGGAGTACGAAGGGTTTTGGGGCTGGACTGAGATTACAATAGCGAGCCCTTTTGACTCGTGAAAGCCTGAAACCTCGCAGCGGGACCTTCATGACGCTTGAAAGCTTTGCGACAGCACAGGGCTGAAACCAGGACAGCTGTGGTGCTTGCTGGGTTCTGATGCTGAGCACCCTCACAGAAAGGGTCTACTGATCTTTGAAAGCCCGGATGCTGCATCGGTGGAGTGAGTAGAAGCTTCACCAAGCCTTTAACCAAAGGCACCGACATGCTCAAAGAGAGGATTGTGAAGAATACAATGATGGAGCAGGCAAGACCCTTCGAAGCACCCACAGCGAGGCAGCACAGTTGACCCTAAGCCCCTAAAAGCCTTTGGGTCTGGGCTCTGGCAGGTTTTCAGGAACCCCTGGTTGACCAGTCGAACGAGAAGCTCACATCTCGGGAACTCGGCACACTTTGGCTGAGTTCCCTAAACCCTAAACCCTAAATTTGGCTGAGTTCCGTGAAAACGGTTGGTAAGGTTCAGGGCCACAAGGCTTGGGTTGGGGTCCGTGGGGGTTGCCTTTTTTCTCCCGCCTATAGCTGACCAAGTCATACCAGGTTAGGCTACACTGGGTCCGCAAGCGACCGAACAGGTTTTGGAAACTCCGTGCAAACAACGGGCGCGGATGCTTGAACCGCACTTGCCAAAGTCACCCTCATCGACTTCGACTCGACTCTCTCCTCTCGGCTATACCCTTAACCCTTTTTGAACGAGGTCTCTCTAACCCTTAACCCTAAACCCTAAACGGGCTGCCATCATCACTTCACTCCAGAAGTCTTGCACGTCGTCCTTCGTCACGCATTAGCGTTTCGGCACCGGACAGGACGGACAGGGTGAAGATCTTGCTGATCGCTGAGGTCGCTCATGCTCATTCTCGAATGCCGCATTTTAAGGGACCAGGGCTTCGACTCACACACTCGCTCACGCAGGCATGGCAGGTTCCGTCTCAGCTAGGGTTTAGGGTTTAGCGTGATTTTAAAAGCCAGCCCATGTAGAAGAGACACGTCATGATCTGGCACCGCTCACGGCCGCGCTCACAGCTTTCCAGCTCTCCGCAGAGCTCGAGGCATGTTTGCCACAGATACACCCGTTGCCCCAGTCAAGTCAAACTATCTCGAACCAAGTTTATTGTTCGCTGCAATGGTATGAGAAGCCACTTTGCGGGCTACAGCCGAAACTGCAATGCCATCAGCTGAAAAGTCAGACGGATTGCTGTGTGCGCCGCTTCGCGTTACTAGGTCGCTTCTGAATTGCAAGCTCAGCTGGGACTGCGTTGCACAAATGCAGGATGGCTTCCAGCACCTTCATGCTCTGAGTATTTCCAAATCGCTCTGATATAACTCGTCCACGCTGGTCCTCACTGGAACTGACTTGACATCCTGGTCGCAGGCTTCTGTCAGAGTAGACGAAATCAAAGGATGCGCTGGAAGTGGATGTCTAGCCATGCATCGAGGACTTCCTTCAGCCCCTCCCCGGTCTCGGAAGACACCTCCAGGGCGGGGACTGTACTAGGGTGCTCACGCTGAGGATATCCCAAGATCGAAAGCTAGATTTTACAGGAACATGATATACTAAACCCGAATTTCTGAGCCTCCCATAAACCCCAAACTGGCCTAGACTCTAAGCCCGACTTTCTGAACCTCCGGCTTTAGAGTAGAATCGTCTGCTATGTCGGGACGTGCCTATTAACTGCATCAGTCTTGCTGAGTCTTCAGGTTGCTTTACCACTAGACCTTCTGCTATAGTGACTATATAGCTATAAACCCTCAACCCTTTGCATTCGAAGCTCTGGAAACAACTCTGTAGAGTTGTGACACAGCCGCATAAAGCCTCTACAGAGCACTGCGCAAGCGCCCCTATAGACCCCCGTTCAAAAGCGCCGACCTGGGACTTTTAGCCTTCTTCCCGAGCCTCATAGTAACGGCAGCCAAGAACCTCAGCCAGACGCTCGCCCTCGGCTTCGGACACCACGCGCGCCCTTGAGCCGAAGTGGTTGCCTGAAAAAGTTTGCAGGTATACGGCGGCTGAGGATGGGTATTATTACCAGTACTATTACTAGCAGTAGTAGTTGTCGTTGTCGTTGTCGTTGT